TAACTGAGAAAGAATTTCTTTAGATAAACAGCATGGCTCATACACCACAAGCATTCCCCTGTAGTTGGAGCTCGACGAAGAATCACTTGATGGTGAGTAATACGAATTGATTTTAGATGAAGCAGGATTTTTCGGAAATAAAGGTGTCATGAGTCATGGGTGCCAGATCAGCTGGTTTTCAACTTGTAGTTGGTCATCTCCCTAACAAATGACTGGGTAGGAATTCAAAGAGACATTTCTCGATAGCATTCCCTTTTTAAGTCAGCAGTTTAATTCTATAACGCGGGTTCTTGAAGCGAAGTTTTCTCAAAATAACCCGTGTAGATGACTGGCAAAAAAATGCTACTACGGGGTGCCGCCCAAGACTGGAATGGCTTAATAATCGCCCCTTTTCTATAACCGAAGATAAAGGATCATTTTTCCAGATGAAAAATGACGTTTTCTTATTCTGCTTCAACTTTTCAGACAGCGCTGTGTCGCTCTATCTATTAGTCACAACAATAGAAGCCTTTTTAAAAGTCATATAAGGACTAACGTTGTCCGAGGTTGGCTGAAATGTTGGTTAAATCTCGGACAATTTTTAAAAAATATGATTCACTGTTCTTTAGTTCCCTGAATTGGTCCTGTAAAGGTTACTTTTGAAAAATTTACTCATGGAAGTTATTACACAATAACAATCAGCAATATAGCACAGATGTTCACAGAGGCACACTAATAACAATTCATTTATATGGGCTGGGTCTCACAGTCATTTTGAATTTTTGAGTAGGTAGCCTATAACTATCAAGCTGTTACTGGGCATACTGTAATGGAAAGTTGTTACAATAAAACAAATTTGCTGCTTCATTTCAAAGTTCGGTGGTATTAGGAGTTCTGAAGCCTTTTGCAAACGTTGGGCTCCGGTTTTCACTAGATGCACGACGAGTTTCAGCAAATCTTTCGGCCAGAAGAGGCAAAGATGTGTTTGGAGAATAATCTTTATGGTTAAGTCCAAGTGTAAGTCGGGACCATGGATAGTTTGTCACCAGATTTGCCGATTCGTCTTGAGATGTACGGTAACCGGACCCGCTTTTTCTGGACCACAGTTCCATCATATAAGGATTTCCTTTCTTCCCTCTGCATGAAACAAGATTCTTCGTAAATGAATGAAAAGGAATTTTATACCCATCATTAATAGGCCTGTTAGTTAACATGCTGATTGAACAGTTAATTTTTCAAAAGTCTTGAGAGGACAAACCGCAACAGATTAGGATCTGTTCTGGTATTCTTCATTGCTGCCGTGCCCATTTCGTGCGATCCAGTAAAACAAAAGTTTGGTGATAGTTTGTATGGCATTTTGCTATCATTAGACAAGTTTAAAAAATTACAGCTTGAGGGAGAAGTTCTCTTCCGAATGACATCTGGAACACTTGGAAATATCTAAAACAAGTTTCGATAGGCTGTCAAAATGTCAATCAAATAAGATATGAAATCAGCAAGAGAAGAGTTTTTATGCAATGACCTGATCAGCAGTGGAAGAAGTCGCATCATTGCTGGAATTCCCTCCACCAACTGCAGCACAAAAGCAATGAGTTCCTGAGAGCTAAATAAACACATAGTAACCACGAATGGGGAAAAAGAAATTTTGAAAAACACTTCAGGAGTCCATTGTTCTGGTAATAAACCAACAGTTAATTATATTTGATTAAAAGTTTCAAATTATCAATAAACAGCAATCTCAAAAACTAAAATTAATTAAGAAAAGAGCTCTATCTATATGACTTCACCTGGACATCAACAAGACCAATGATTTTAGTTTTCTTATTTACCCCTTGACACCTCAATCTGAAGAGAGAACTGGAAACGATGAAGTTATAGAAGTAAGTGTATCTCTCAAGATTTCCCATAATCTAATCTACAAGTTGAAGCTCCTTTATAACTGAGAACATCCAAATGATTACATACAATAATGCCCTAACAATTTACAGGAAAAAACTAACAAGTAAAGCTTTCAAAAACCTCCAGTGCTTAGATGCCCTTAAAAGCAATCTCCTTACTATATTTGCAACTTGTTATTTTATGGGTGCTAAATAAGGAAGCAGTAAAACTGTTTGAGATTCTAATGACGGAACACCACAAAGAATCTGTTCCCAATCTTACTTACTGCCACTCTCTCTAATCATTCGCTTCCGAATCCTTGTTTCCACAGTCCTTTAATTTTAACAACAGTAACCAACTAAAAGATTCAGATGCTTCTAAAAGAAAGAACCTTTGTGAAATAATCAGTTGTAGTGTTATTGGTTTCAAAGCCAGGATCAATCTGAGTCCCTAAAAAAAATTTGTAAAAAATTTCTTCCGTAATGGTATTTGTTTGTTTTACTTTCGTTTCGCTTTATTCAAACACAGTTTTAGAAAGGTGACCTGCAATATTCAAAGACGTCGTTAATTTGCGTAATTGACCCACAAACTGCAAACAATGCTCTTCAATTTTCTGCACTAGAACGCAGGCTGCATCACCAGTGCCTTCAATAGCAGCCACTTTCCTGAATACAGTTCAAAGATTGACCATTGTTTTACCTACTTCCAAATCTTTAAAATAACAATGCTGCAAAAGGGTTCTTTGCACATTCATGTTTCATAACAGTTCAAGCGTAATAGACAAGTTGTAGCCCATATGCAGTTGACTGGCCAGTTTTTTCAGCATTTTATCGACCTGGCCTTAATCTTTTATAAGACTACATTTTGAAAAGCTATCTCTAACAAAATTTTTCAAGTTTCTAGCAGTCACTGATGACAAAAGGAGCAATGTCAATTTTGGATTTTTTTGAGCCCCTAGAAAAAAAAAGTTTAAGTATAACCTACGACACAGATATTTTGCAAAAACGACTTACGCAAAAAACGGAGCCTCTACTTCTAACTTTCAACTCAAAACACCACCAACTCCAGTTTCTTCCTCTAAATAAATACAGAACGCGTTTCAATTTCCGCAGCCCGAGTTTAACAACAAGCAACTTTTGAAACAGGATTCTCTTAATAAGTCTCCAGCCGGGTGCAGTAGATAATTGAAAACTTATAAATAATAACGGCAAAAAACAGTAACTATGGAGCAAATGCGGAAAAACCTCGGTCTAGTTACTAAAGGGCCCCTTCCTAAAAATCGATCACGAATAGTTCTGTTTGATCGATTCCCTTTCTCCCAAAAAAATAAGCGCAATACTGTCAAAACTTTCTTTAACCAACTAAAACCTTTTTGAACATTTTGAAGAAGAGTCCCAAAGTAAAATCTCCAGGAACGACTACACACTTCTATAAAGAAGAAGCAGCTGTCAGTGTGCTAAACTTTTCATATGGTTCTTACTACCTCACTCTGAACTTAATAAGGCATAGCTTTCCAAAATGTACCTTATTTTTCAAAACAAAAGCCTCTGACACTGACGAACTGCTCGCAGAACTCAAGCTTACCTGACGCCCCATGTTAAAAACTATAGAAGGTACCTGAAAACTCGCACGCAGAGAAATCGAACACCAATTTGCAAATTAATGAAGCTTCTTGAAAGACAAGCATAAAAAAACCAAAAAAAAAAAAAAAAAAAAAAAAAAAAA